TTAGTGGAAGCTAACACTAACAGCTAATCGCTAATTGCTAGGATGACTCGCTCAGTCTGCATCATACATCTTCATCTCCTTGGAGCTGAAGACTGCTGGGACTGTTAGCTGTTAGCAGACTTTAAAGTTAGCAAAAACTATTTTAGTGGAAGCTAATTGCTCCGCTAATGGTTTTCAAAGATAGTGAAAAAGCTAATCCGCTACAAGAAAAAAGGAGTTTTGCTATTGGCTGTTAGCGGAAACATACCCTCTCCTGCTTATGGCAGTTTATTAAATCTTTTAGAAGATGACATAACTTGTGATTAAATTAATCCAACACATTCATTTGTTGAATATACATGTTTAAAAAAAAAGTGAGCGCTTGTTATTCGTTTAATTAATAAGTTTTATTTCTCAAATTAAAATCTGTTATTATTGGATGTTAATTATCCAATTTTTCATTTTGATTTATAACCAACAAAAAAGTGTTTTTGTTTTATTTGTTTTTTGTTTCAAATAATAAAAATCTGCCTGAATGTACACTGACCATTTATATCCTTCAAACAGTTTCTTATGAATGAGGAAACAGACATTTAAGCCAACAAAGTTACTAAAATGATGGTGACAACTTGTCCCTAACAGAATCAGGACCAGCCTGTGTGGAGGAAAATAGACCAGCAGCTTTAAACCAACATGGAAACCTTCAGTGACATATACAGCTGCTGTCTCATTAGTTACATGAATCATAAATGTGACATTTAAATCAGGGCTCTGTCTCACCTGCAGACTTTCCTCCCTGAGACAGTGCAGCTCTGTTTGGTGTCTCTGGTACTGGTCCTGCAGGTCTCTCTCTGCCTGCAGGGCCTCGGTGCGCAGGGCCTGGATCTGCAGCGTCAGGACCTGCCTCTGTCTGCTCAGCACCAGTAGCTCTCTCTCAGGACTCTCTGCCTAACAGAACAATGAAAYCAACCTGAAATTAAACCATAGAAATTGTGAGAAAATAACAGAATTAAGTTGGAAACGCAGTCACCATCATTTCAGCCTTGTGTTTGTGCTGACTCAGCATCCTGGGCTGAGATGGATCACAGACAGAATGTTAAACAACAGGARGTCTCATTATCTCACCGGTGGCTGTTCCTGGGCCAATTCTTCCTCCATCTTRGCCACCTCCTCTTGAATTAATCTTGCATGATCCTCCTTAAGTTGCCTCCTCCGCTCCTGAGCTTCATTGTATTCCAACTGAGACTCATCATTAAACTGGCAAAAATAAATGTCTTGGTGTGTGTGTGTGTTCCCCGCTCTCGCACACATAAATCTTATTTAGATGCTGAAAAGACTATTGACTCAGCCTGTTCTCAAACAGCATAAAGCTTTCTGCAAAGACTTCACTCTGAAGGCAGTGATTACAGCTTTTCAAAACTACAGCAAAATATGTGCTTTACTGAGGACATTTGASTGGTCTGGGAGTTTAGCAAGAGGGGAAAAAAATAAAGAAAACAAGAGAAATAATTTTCTACAAAAGTAGCCTACACTGTAAACGCTGTGTATAACAATAGGTAAACAAAACATAACAGCTAAAAGCCAAAGTAGTAAAACATTAGCTTAAAAGCAAAATTATAACTAAAACTTAACATAGCATAAAGCTAACTCAAACCTAAATTAGAATTAGAAAAATGTTAGCTTAAAGCAGCAAAATCCTGGCTAAAAGCTAAATGTAACCTAAAGCTAGCTAAAAGTAAAACGAAAACTAAAGTAGCAAAAAAAAAAAAAAGGCAGACTAAAAGCTGAAAATAGCACAAGGCTAAATGTATCAAAACAGTAGCTGAAACTATAAGTAATATAAGGGCGGATAAAATCTAAATCTAGCAAAATGTTGGCTAGAAGCTAAAAGTAGCAAAAGACTAGCTAAAAGTAGAAGAATGATAGCTAAATACAAGTAGCATAAGAAAACAACAGAGTGAGTGAACTGAAGCAGATAAGTGGGAACAATCGATGTTTGATTACTTGTTGACAGAGCTGTGATTTCTCTCTAACAGCTCCAGTCGTCAGCGTTTCTTCCCTGAGAGCGTCTGTTAGCAGCTGCATCCTTCCTACTCTCTSCTGGACTTTCTCAGCACTGCCTTTATCTTCTGTAAATAGTGAGAAAAAACCAAGAACACACCTCCCACAGCTTGATATTTAAAAATAATTACATCTTGAATCCCGGCTTGTTACCTTGCATGTGCTCTTTCATTTCTCGTCTCAGTTGTTCTTTTAGATATTTCGTTGTTTCTGAACTCTGTCGTTCAACCAGATGTCTTCCAGAAAACTCCTGGTTGCTGATTGAGGATTTAAAACTCTGCCAAGTTAAAGAAAAATGAAGCCCTTTTAATATTTACAGGCCAACTACAGTTTTTAACGCTTCACTGATGAGGGTAAAAGTAATCTAGTAAATCAAACCTTGATTTTCATTTTAATTTTCTCTGATTCTTCCCTTCTTTTCTCCCATGACTGATCTTTTGCCATCTGTTGAGATCACAGAATGAGTTTATCATCACATTGAACACCCTGGTGCTGTGGAATGAGGTGCTGTCACAGTGGGAGGTTGTAAGGTGGTGTGTGTTGTGCATGTGTACTGAAGTAATTATTTAATTATCTGGCAACACTGAAAACCAGCCTCTTGTAAACAGACCCCTCAGTTACCTTCAGGTTTTGACTCAGCTCTGCTAGCCTGTAAATGTTGTGAACTTCACTCTCCTCTTGAGACATGATCTTGTTTTGCAGATCCATGATGCCTTCACGGATCTCTCGCTCAGATGCTTTCGGGTTCCATCGGCCAGTTTTGGCTTCYGTAACCAGTCCTCTCACTTTCTGAGCCAACTCTAAAACACAAGGAACCTCGTCGTTTAGGAGACCTGTAAGAGTTAAAGAATAAAGTTCATTTTAAACGGGCATTTCAGGTCTTTATAAGGTGGCAACGATCCACTTTAGTGTTAGCCTGCTCAGGTACTTTGTTTTTCAAACCTGAGGTTGTTCGGGGAGCTATCTACAACAGGTAAGATAGTAATTGTTAATAYCATTTTCTTTGAATAAAACAAGTTTTCACCAAAACTTCAGACACAAATACAGACATGAACAATCAACCACAGAGCAGGCAACCACCCCGAAACCTCGAGAGAAATTGGGTAAAGGTTTTAGCCCTGAATCACGTAAAAACCAGTGTCGAAAACACCTAAACCAACTTGGTAAAAATGGTGCCAGCTAGGAGTGCAGCCTGTGAGTGTGGTCACAAAATCCAGAACACAACATCAACACCAGAGCAAAAACAATGGACGTCTTTCTGGTGTGACACAAGACGGCGACCACAACTCAAACACTTGGCTTCATTGTTGGTGTCAACTTGGCCTCTTACCTCGAGGATTAACGCAGTAGACGAGGTACGTCCGGTAGTTTCCTGTTAAGACATCTTTAAGGAGTGAAAGAAGGAGACTGTTGTTGCCGTCTGTTGTAGAAGAAGTAAGTATTTGGTCTAGAATCTTCACCAGTGGGCTTACACTAAAAAAAACGTTCAACAAAAATGCACAAGTTAAAGAAAATATAGTGGAGATGAGTGGAGAAGCAATGTTCAGTCAAATAGATATGAGCCAAAATATCAGTGATACAGTGACTATTGATAACMTATTGACCAGATTATCCCTTTTTGAGTTTAAGAAGAAGCTATCTTTTAGTCTGAAAATAAGTCCCCCCAATAAAGTTTTAGCATCCCGCGAGAATACATTTACCATGAATGAACTAACTCATTAATTTTGATCAGTGTGCTGATTGTTGTGTTAAATATTCCTGTAAATGAGTAGCTTTTACCCCCCAAAGAGATGAATGTTTTTCAGTCTTGATTGACATGTCTGTGGGAGACAATGAGAGGCCTGCTGGTGGGTTGGGAGGGAAAGAAACACTCCAGGAGGTTAATTTACCGCTGAACACTGTAAACACTCTGACTGGATCCATTATAAGTTACTTTGTTATTTGCCATTAAAATGGGAAAAATCTTTTCCCCCAGACAGTAATGATCCACAGCATACAGCAATGTCAGCCAACACTGAAGAGACTTGTCACAGAACACTGAAAGATGTGCAACTAATAATAATTAAAGTGGAGTATCATGAATTTTTCAGGCACGTAGGTAAATAGGTTTTGCATAATACAGCTTGAAAACTCACTTGTATATCTGATTTTTAATATTCTCCCTAACATTTTTTCCTACTATTATTTTTACTATTATTTGAAAGAAAATATGCAGTATGTAATTTATGCAACTAATTAATTTTAGTCKCAAATAATAGCTTTAATAACTTCTTATTCCTTATTACAAAGTGGTATCTTGAGCTTCATGATTGCATTGCTTTGACTGCCGTATCTTATTAAAATGATCACATGTACTAAACATTCAAATAAAAAGAATTGAACACTAGCATTATTTTGAGTAGCTGGTGGTTTATTGACCGACCCTCGGAGGTCTGTCCGGCTGGCTCCTCCTGCCAGGCTGAACAGCTGCAGTCTGCTGCGGCACACATCCGACTCCACCTGCTCCGGGTGAAGTTTCCACTCCACAGCCACAGAGAYCAGGGAGCTGCATCTGAGGAACGACACACACCGTAAGCAGCCCAACATTCAGAAAGTTGAAGGGAAGACGAGCTGGCTTTAGGACTCGGAAAGAAGATTTTAACAGTCCAGTCATGGATATGAGAYTGAGAGGTTTGGCTTATTAGATGAAAAGGTTTCTTGGACCTACCTGCCAAAAACAGAGCCTGCGTTGGTTTGCATCGTCTCTCTGCAGGTTTCATACATATTTAAGGCTTCTTCGGCTGAACGCACACACACCTCATATAAGCCTTCAATAACACTAAAAGGAAAAATGATCATTACATTTTAGTTAATATAAAATATGCACGTAAGCAGTTCTTTACAACAAAGATATTGAGCACATCAGTTCTTTGATAATAATAAATAAGCACTATTGTAAGCAGACTTAGATTTCTTCAATTTTGTGTGTTTTATTTGCAGCCCTATAGTGGAATGTTATCATGTTCCAGGTCAAGGTCTCAACAGTTTGTGGAATTCTAAATGAAAACAAAAAGTGATGACTTTTTCAGCCACTGCCACTAAATTACAGAATGCCCTGCCTCCACATTTCAGAGGAGCTGGAACACAGGAAAAAGAAGTTCTTGTATTCCTTTGTGTCAACGTTTAATCCCAGATGACCTTAACATTAATCATGGATGGTCAATAGATGTGTAGGTAGGTAGGTAGGTAGGTAGGTAGGTAGGTAGGTAGGTAGGTAGGTAGGTAGGTAGGTAGGTAGGTAG